GGCATCCCAGTGCTCGGTGGAGCCTTCTAGTAGCGAAGAGCTCAGTCGACGGAATGCAGCGACGCCGGCTCACAGGGAGAGGACAGAGAGAGAGCGCCGGGGGTAGCGGCATCGCAGTGATGTCTTTCGGTGGCTCCTTCTCGTAGCGACAAGCTCTGTAGCGACTGTGATTCTTCCGGTGGTTGCAGCGGGCGTTGCGTGGAGGTGGCGAAGGTCGTGGCGTGGCGACTGCGGCGAGATGAGTGTTAAGAGAGAGACGGGTTTTGGCGAAGAGAGGAGAGTTCGGCCGACGAGAGGAGAGTTAGAGAGAGACGGGTTCGGGGAAATGAGAGGTAGGTAAAGGAAGTTAGGGTTTGGTTTATAAATTAATTTAATTTAATCATATATTTTATTTAGTAATAATGTATTAGTTAATAAAAATATCTAATTTTGGAAATATTAAACTTCCAATCTGATTTTGGAAGGTTTAATACTTAAAGTATGGTTTTGTGTAATTACCACTTTCAAGTTTCCAGCTGAGCTTAAAAGTTATTTTTAAGTATCTATACGTATTTTGGGCCTAACCAAACATGTTCTATGGAATTGAGAATCAATTGACAACTTCGTTTTCAAATTATTACTGTCACTAACGTATAAAAGCCGCCCCAAACGCGACTCTAAGCCTCAAATGTAACATAAAAAACAGATTCATCTTCTTCAATTCTTCTGCATCACAATCCATCGCTAGATGGTGATTGATTTGATTCTCGGGCTAAACATAATCAATTGTTTTTTCTTTATTAGAAATTTGAAAATTTGACCCAAAAAACTAAAATGGAAGAGACCCTAGTCGAGCGTGGGAAATCATCAGCAGCTCCAATGATCTTCATCCTCATTGCAGCTTTCCACTTTTTCTCCAGATACATCGAACTCGGCAAAAAGAAGGTTTTTTTATTAATTTTTTTAATTGATAAAGTGATTGGATTTTTTTTGTTTTATTTTATTATTATTTTTTGTTGTGTGAATGTATAGAAAGGATCAATGAATGCGACGGATGTTCAATTGCGTGCGGAGATTAAGGAGCTATTGAAGGAGGCCAGTTCCTTGTCACAGTGAGTGTCGTTTTGCATATATCAAATGTGTTGTATTAAATGCAACTGTGTGCAAATTGCAAAATGGTGATAATCAAATTATTATGAAAATCCAGTTTGAAATAATAAGTTTTTACGAGCTTTGACAGGATAAATAAGTTCTGTGCTTCTAACCGAAAGCCTCATTAATTTTCAAATGATATGATTTTGATTTTCTGATCAGTCTGCCCGAATAGTTCTAACTGGATAATGAATCGATGCGTATCTTGATGTGTCTTTTCTCAGTGTGTTTAATTGCTACAGCACATTGGCATGTTCCGTTAGATTCTTAGCTTGGATTAATACAGTAGTTTCCTGTGTGTAGATCCCTACTCATAAGTTCATTTGCTTGCTTATAAGAAACTAAGAGCTCATTTGGCATTGTTTTTGCTTTTACTTTAGCTTCTTATAGAAGAACTTTTGGAGGAAGTTTCCTTAATTGTTGTTTGAAAACTAATTTTTAAAAGCATTCATATTTCAGACGTATTTTCTAAAGGAAGCCAGTCTTCCAAAAGCACATAAGAAAGTTAAAATATGAAAATTATTGTACTAGTATATCCCGAGCTTTAGAAGTGTGGAGAATAATCTAGTGCTACTTTTCTTTTTAACAATCTGATGCCTGTTACACTTTCTTCTACACAAATTATAGGAGCTTTAGAAGTGTGGAGAATAATCTGGTGCTAGTTTTCTTTTTAACAATCTAATGCCCGTTACGCTTTCTTCTACATATTTTTATTTCTTGAACTTTATTATTAGGCTGCAAATGAAACTTAAATGGTATGCCATGGGCATTTTCTTCTGTTACTCAAATGATTTTTATGTTATAATGGTTTAGTACAACATTACTGATCTGAAGAGTTGGAGTTGAGAGCAATCTTGGGACGAATAATTTGTCTTTGCTCTACTTCTAAACAATTTTTTTAATCAGGCTGTGGGATGTATAATGGTGTTTCCTTGTTGTTTAATTTACTGCATTTTATAAAATTCACTATGCGGAAATTTATTTGTTGATTCATATTTAATTTCAGGCCTTCAACATTTGCACAAGCTGCAAAACTAAGAAGGATGGCAGCAGCTAAGGAGAAGGAACTTGCAAAAAGTAGGATATGGTTTGAAAGCTTAATTGTGAAGTGTGCAATGATAGTTTTGAAAATAGTGGCCATAGAAATTTAGATCACATGGCATTTGATTATTGGTGTTAAGTATCCACGTGCATCATAATTAGAATTTTCTTTTTCAACACCTAATTGTGAATTTAGGGTGTGTTCGTAGAAGAACACTGTCCCTATAAGGATATTCTACAATATCTAAGCAATTCACTATCTGTACAATGAATATTTAGCAAGTTCCTGTGTGTAACTTAACAATGACTGCGCTTATAGTTATTTTAGCTCCACAAATAGGTCCATATCCCTTAATATACAATGATTTTTAGTTCTTCAGTTGTTCATTTTTTATCACACGTTGGGTTTCTTGTTGGTCAGCGTCTGGATGGCCTACAGCTACTTTTAGAATTTGTATTTGTTTATCATCCTGGAAGGTTACTAACCATAAGCTTTCGAAGTAGGGAACTAGCTATGTTTCTCTAAATGTTCAAGGCATCACACCTTTTATAGTCACTTTCCACACTTCCCTCACTTGGAACTTGTACTGCTTGCTTATTGCATTCATAATTTAATGCTCCTCATAGATATGGAAGCTCATGCATACTTGTTTTACCTTGCAGAACAAGAAATACAGAAGAAGGAGGTCAAATCGTCGTATGATACACAAGAAAAAATCTTTAAAATATCAAACGTGATTCATCGGGCACTTTATTCCTGAGAGTTCTATTTGTTTCACTTATTGGTGTTTAGCAAAGTTCATTGATCTTTTTTCCACGCAGGTTCTTGCGTATGTTGTGCTGATTATATGGTTTTGGCGGATGCCAATGGCTACCATATCTGAGGAACTCGTGCAACCTTTGGGTAACGTGTTCTTCCCCATAATTTGTTAGGCGCCTAACATCTTGTGTGATTAACTTCAGTCTTGATTTCTCCATCTGAATCCCCTTTACCAACTACTGTGTGATGCCTCAATTTTTACCCTAATTAACATGCCAATAAATAAATAATGGCTCCCCCCCAAGCTTCAAAGTTCGGTCCAATATTCTGTATCTCGTTGAGGGATTGATAAGATATGTTGATTGTATTCATGGTCCAACTCTTTTGCAGGTAAGATGTTATCTTGGAGAGCTGGAGAAGCTCTGAAAGATCATGTTATGGTAATGCAGTTGAACTCCATAGTTTTTTGTTATTCTAATTAAGAATATAGTTTCTCTCGTAAAGGCAACCTCAAGTTTATCATGATTAAGGGTTAGTTTGTTGTTGTGCTGTACTAGTAACCTTTTATTTATGTCTCTTAAGGCTAGTAGGGGTGTCCATTCCACTCGTTCCTAGAGTGCTCTTTATAGTGCGTAATGAGATTAGAAGTTGTATACATCTTTGTGGTTCTCTCCTTTCTTTCTAAAATATCGAGGAAGTTGGACACTTTTGCTTGTAACAGTGTAGGGAAACCAGGCGTACATGTATTATGAGAAGCTGATTGGAGAATTTCTATCCTAAAAGATTATCTAGTTTCATTCAATGCATTTTCCTGAAAGATTGTTCAATACATCTGTGAAATCATCTTGCTGCGCACAGGGAACATTTGTTACACGGTATTAGACATTACTGGGCAGTGCAATGGACAGATTTTAGCTTCTTTTAGTTCTTTAGTATTATCAAATGTTGCAAAATTAAACTTCCAAACAAGCCAACGGGGATTCTTATTGCTCACTTGTGTCCATTGCAGGTCGGAATCATCCCGTGGTTGATAGTATCTGCCAGGGTTAATAGGTTTATCTGCCGAAAAATATTGAAGTAAGATGAAGATTTGTGGCAAAAGGAGGCATAATTTGTTCTCTCTCAATTTTTTCCATAATACAGTTTTATCCTTATTTGTTTTATATGTAACTGTGCGAGTTAAGTGTGGTCTAACCATTGGAATAATGTCTACTGCATTTTGGTTCAGATGTTTGGTGATTTATTTATATAAAACAAACCTTCAGACGACAGACACCCATCTGATGATCCTTGTTAGTATATATCTTGCAACTAATTGTTTTGTTGACAAAGATTAATCTACATGTAACTGCTGGTTTTGTGTCGCATTTTTGTAGATTTTTTTACCAACTATAAATTGTTTCGTGCTCATTGTAGCGAAAGGCAATAAGCCAAAAGCACGAGCAGTCTTGATCTCATGAGCAACCTTTCTTCGGGCCTTGGCACTGATTCCGAATCACCTTTTCTAGCATAGGAAAGAGTGAAAGACAAGTGTTCAAGTGTTACGCGTTTTCTATAACATAATTATGCCGCAAGTGTAGGTGTCAAATTTTGTAATATATGAAGAGAATTAGAGTGTGGAGCCCACAATGATTCATATTTAGATCTTGTCCGGGACTAATTTTCAACAGGAGAGAATTGATTTTTCAGCTTCTTTTTTTTTACCGTTTCTCACACATGTAGCCCATTTCTGTGAAATTCAGCCCGTTGAGTGATGTAACGGTCAAAAACTAACTTTTAATCCAAATTTTAAGTGGTACAAGACAAGGCCTTAATTCATGCTATGTACTATAATTATTTTAGTTTTTACTTTATTTAGAAACTCAAGTTTAGAATTAATATTTTTATACTAATCTAACATGGATGTGATGGCCTTTCAAGTAAAATAATCCAAATTATAAGAGATTTTATCAACGTCAGAAAGCTTAGGGAATGATTTCATCGCACTATCTTCAATGTTTTTCAACTTTTATAGTTACTTCTATCAATTTTTCTAAGTTGAACCTTAAATTAACTCTACTCTTTCTCTCGAGTGTCAAATAAAACATATTTCTATTCCGAATTAAAAATATATAAATTATCAAGTATGTGGTTCTTAAACAGAATGAGCTATGAAGATTTCATATTTTCTCTCGAAACCTACAAAATCGAAGTTATGTTATTCTTATATCACGCTTAAATCTTCTTCTCTCAAATACCAAAATTTAAAGTACCAAAGCATTCAACTTATGATCAGGTAATTGAAAGCAATGTACAAGAATCAACACAAATAAACAGAAAAATCAAAAGAAATAACTATATTAGAATCCAAATATGTCTCAAGTTAGGTTACAACAAACTCTAGATTTAGAATTTAGTTCATGATTAGGCTCATGTTTGCACCACATTAAAATTTTTATTCTCATTCTTCTATTTATTTTCAACCACACATTCTTTAATAAAATAATATTCTCCACCACATCAATAACTTTTCCTTCTTTTTCAACCACACATTCTCCATCAATCTACTGTTTCAAAATACAGTTTTGCAAAATAATGTGGCTCAAACACACTCTAAAAGAAAAGACATAATCCAATCTAGTATTAAGAACATGGAAAAGAAAAGAATGAGAAAAATTGAATTGGCGCGTGAAATTTCCCCCTTGATGTTGTCTTTCTTGTTCTCAATCAATATCTTCTTCCTTTACCTCTTGAGCAAACTTCATTCTTCAAAGTAGGTCTTCAAGTTTGTATTTATAATCCCTTGAAGTTTCAAGACGAGTTGGAGTTGGATTGGGCCAAAAAAATTCAAAAAAATAAAAAATAAAAAAAAAATCTAATTTTCTAGCTTTGGTGTGGAGGCGCCGCAACGTCGCGATGAAATTCTCTGATGGCACCGTAGCACTAGTAGTTCTAATTTCTTTTCTATCAACTGGGTGCTACAGCGCTTACAGATCCACGACACGCAACTCTCTGTTGATTTCTAGCTTTTTCTTGGGCGCCTAGGCGCTCATACGTGGCGTCGTGGCGCCCATATGTTCCCTTCGCCTTTTGCCTCGTTTTCTACTTTATTTTCCTCTTCTTTCATCTCCACTCCATATGCACTTCCATGATCAACAATTTAACTTCATAACAAGCCCCAAAATATGCCATTTTTACCAAGTCGCTTAAACTACAAAACAACACTAACAAACACATCAAAATACTCAAAAGTGCTTAAGAACAAATCGAGAACTATGCTTTGGAAGTGCTAATTCAATGAGTGAAATATATTCATCAAATACCCCCAAAACTTAGTTCTTTACTTGTCCTCAAGCAAACATAAAACAACACAATAAAATAACTAACACACAATTAAAACACACAAACAAAGGACTCACTTCACACGATTTAGTTGGATAACTTGTGTTGAAAAGAAAAAATGATATCTAATTCATGAATTACTTCAAGATTATAATGCATAAACCAAATCCTTACCTTTCCAATGCAAAACGTGTGTGTGTGTGTGTGAAAAATCAAATACAACGTTGCGCAATCATAAGTTGATTCAATTCCTCGACTTTAAAAGTCACTTATTCTTTTCTCTGCTCCTGAGATTCACACACTCCAAAACTTAGTTTCTTTTCATTATTTTTCCAATTGTGTATTTTAAAGTCGTTCTTCATTTTACTATTCCTCATCTTCTCCAGTTTGGTTAAGTTTTTACATGTTGCAGTTTAACACATCAACAAATGAGGTTTCTCCTTAATTACGATTGCTTTAACTCCTAGGAATCAACCAAGCTACTAACTCCTCATCAAAGACATAATTCTCTAAAACAAGTGCTTTGGGCTTAATCAAGGCAAATAATGTCTTCTGTTTTATGCACTTACTTTTTCATATCAAAGGCATAATTCTCTAAAACAAGTGCTTGGGCTTAATCAAGGTAAATAGTGTCTTCTGTTTTATGCACTTACTTTTTCATATATATATACATACATTAAATTTTTTAAATGAACCATGTATCGAGTTTTTGGCCAAACACTCAAGTCAGATGACTTTAGGGCATTCGATTTTAAACTCTTGCAAGTTTAATCACTCGAGTCATAAAGGTTACGAAGAGATGCTTCACAATGAGATTATTACAGTTGTCCTCTTTGGGATTTTTTAAAATTTTTTAGGGTAGCTTCACAACAAGGTAGATTTTTCCCTTTTATACAGTGATTAGTACAATGTCCCTTATTAAACACTTATTATCTAAAATCGGCCCCTAATTTAAGGTTTTCACCCAATTTTCATCATGTAGGTCTCATACATTCCACACAAATTTTGGCACACACGAAATCCACATCTATATCCTCCCTACAACAATTCAATCATCCAAATTATACTAAAGTTGATTAAAGGATGCAAGTTTTAGTTTAGTGGTTATTTGAATTCAGCTTCTAGGGTCACTAATTCAACCTATATCATTTATAATTCAACTTATTTTTGTCCAACGTTATACTCAATTCATGCGCATTCATTTCACAATTTTTTGCAAGGATAAGTAAGACTTTAACTCATGCACATAACTTATTCATAATTCACAACTCATTCATGTTTCCAAATATATGTATCATTGTCAACAATGCTATCCAACCTACACAAGCATGTGATTTTTTTTTTTTTTTTT